GCACCTTAGAGACTAATAAAAAATGTAGATGGTATCAAGAGCTTTCGTGGGCGGAAGTGGGTTGTGCCCACGAACACTCATAATACCATCTACATTTTTTATTAGTCTCTAAGGTGCTGCAGGATTGTTTGTTGTTTTTTAAGGTTTTTTTTCTAGTGAATATTAATTTCTTAAGCGTATCATAATCCATCTTGAACATAATTTGTATCAAACGCTTCTGCCTCTCTGTTTAATCTTTGCAAACTTCCCCGAATTAAAAGAGTTCATCTAAACTGATATCACCAGTCAGCAGCTTTCAATATATTTTAATTATGCATCTGAATGAGAGTTTATCCCACCTAGTTAATGACAAAACATCGTGTTCTCAATGTAATTAGAGCCCATTAGAAAGCTTCACAGCCACATCCTTTTGAATGGCAAGATTGAAACAAATGTTGCCATGTAACTGAATTATTCCCTATGAATTACATTATGCAGCGTTCTATATTTAAATGGAGATGGAACAGACACAGAGGCTCTCGGTATGGTTTGGCAGCGGATTTCAATGTCCTGCAGATGGCTGCAGCAGCATCCTTCATATGCTTCATATGGCATGGCAGGCCCGCTTGTCCTTGCACTGCCAGGCAGAGCATTGATGTGACTGCTGACAGCCTCCCCCCCACTCCCCAATGACCCAGAAATGCATTTGGGGGGCAAGGTAGTTCAGTGGTTTGAGCATTGGCCTGCTAACTGCAGGGTTGTGAGCTCAGTCCTTCAGAGGGCTATTTAGGGATCTGGGACAAATATATCAGGGATGGTACTTGGGGCTGCCGTGGAGGCAGGGGACTGGACTAGATGACTTTCAAGGTCCCTTCTGTATATTTGTATTTATTTCATTCCAAGCCAGTGCTAGGAGAGCATTCCCTTAACGATGCCAAGGTCTGCTCCTCGTTTTACAGTCGCTGCTACTCCCCAGCTCTCACTAGTTGCTGTTTGCATAAGACTGATCTGCCAATAGCCTTTTGCTTCACTCCTTTAAGGAACATGGTGTCAAGGACAATCTGGCTACGTCTACACTTCAGGCTTCTTGTGCAAGAGCACGTCCACACCTCAAAGCGAGTTGCAAAAGTGATGTGCTTTTGCACAAGAAAGCATCCACACTGCATGGGCACTCTTGTGCAAGAAAGCTCCGATGGCCATTCACAGAATGGCCATCAGAGCACCTGTGCTTTTTCCTGTAGGGGTTTCTTGTGCAAGTCCAGAGCGTCCACACTTGCCTTCTTGCGCAATAGCTATAGCGCAAAAGGGAGATATGCCTCCTAGAAGGAGGTTTACCTACACCAGCAAAAACCCTCTGTTCTGCTGTTTTACTGATGAATTAGTTGTGCAAAAGCACATCTGAGGTGTGGCCACTCCACATGTTTTTGCGCAAAAACGCCCATTTTTGCACAAAAACCTTGCAGCGTAGACATATCTTCCTAGCGCTGCATTTACTTCTGCTCCAAGTAGCTTAACAGCCTGAATATATGAGCCCATGTTCTCTATTGCTGCTGGCAAACGGGTTCTCTCACAGTTCCTCAAGAATAGTGATAGAAATGTAGCCGTGTTAGTCTGGGGTAGCTGAAGCAAAATGCAGGACAATGTAGCACTTTAAAGACTAACAAGATGGTTTATTAGATGATGAGCTTTCGTGGACGAAAGCTCATCATCTAATAAACCATCTTGTTAGTCTTTAAAGTGCTACATTGTCCTGCATTTTGAGTTCCTCAAGACTCTTCCCTCTGCTTCCGATCCAAAGCTCCATTGCATGGCATCTCTTTTCTTGTTCATCCGAGTTGTTCGTTCCCGCCCCCCCACCACCTCCTGCTCCCGTCTGTTGTTTAATCAAAGAAAAACACAAAGTGATCCCACGGTTCGCAGGGTAGCAGAGGGGCATTTGCAATTCCAAACAGTGTCGCATTTGGGTTTTGTCAACTTTCCCTGAGATAAACTGAGGAAAAGCCATTGACAGGTCCACAATATGCTCACGGCAGAAAAAGAGCGTGGCACAAAGGGTACTAATTGCCGCCTGGTTGTGTATTTCCACATCTGCATTGAACCCAGCAGCTGCAGATCCTTCAAGTGCCTTTTCCACCATTGTTGGCACCGTTTGCAGCACAAAAGAAAAGGGGCAGCTGGAAACTAGACCCAATCTCCTTTTTCGGGGTGTGGGACAGAAGGGAGGGGGAAGATGCTGCAGCTGAACACTTGCTTCTCTTCTGGCCATGAGAAAAGCCGCCTGATCCTCCTGTAGCTTTCAGCCAAACACAAAGAGAACTTCCTGGGTTCTGTCCCCAGGCAAAAAACAAAGGCAGGAGAAGAGGTGGCGGGGAGAGGCGGGAGTGTTTGGGGAAAGGCAGGGAATTACAGGGGGCCGATTGTGTGCGGATGATATAGCTCGGTGGCACCTGTCCCTGTGGGGTGTTTGGCCCCAGCCGCAAAATGGCAGGGCTGGGGTGTAATTACCAAGCACTTAGCATGCATCCCGCCCTGGTGCGTGCCTCCGCTGATTTCCACTCGCATTGTCAGAGCGGCTGTGGACACTGCAGAAGCTGCAGTTCAAGTGTCTGCAGCTGGCGAGACAAATGAATGCAATGGCTATGAAAGTTGACGGCGGGGCAGGGAGGGAGGAACTCTGCGGAGGAAGAAAATGAAGCTATTTCTCGACGTACTTCCGAACGGCGGGGAGCTTAATGCACAGTTATTTCTTTAAAGATCCCTTCATCTGGACCCTTAACAAACAGCCTCCAGTGCATTCTCCCCCTCCTCACTGCATCTGGCATGTGCCCAGTAGTTGACGGGGCCCGTTCTACTTTCCTTCTGGGTTGTTAACATTTCTCCTTGGATGGGCTGGGGGTTCTGTCTCATTGCTCTTTCCCCCCCATTGCTTCCTGCTCTGTGATGCCCAGGAGAACGTTGCATTTCCAACAAGCGGTAAAGTGTTTCAGTCCGGAATGGCAGCTTCCGGCTGGGTCAGAGACCATCAAATCTTCCCACGGAATCTCGAGTTCGTGTCTAAAAAGTCCTTATCCAAGTCAAGCCTGGCACTAAAATACCCCATCCACTTCAAATGGGGCTAGACACAGAGGCTACATCTACACTGCACTGTTATTTCAGAATCTGCTTCTCCAGAATAGTTATTCCAAAACAGCTTATTTCAAAATAGCATGTCTACACTGCAGGGAAGCCTTAAATTGAGTCAGAGGCAGGGTTCCCTAATGTAGACGTGCTATCTCGATTTAGAGCCCCAGGAGGAATAACTTAGAATGACCCTGGTGAGGGGCTATTTTGAAATAGCGGAAGTGGAGCGCCAACACATGCCTTATTTCGAAATAGCCATTTCGGAAGAGGCGTTATTCTTCATAGAATGAGGTTTACAGAAGTCAGAATAAGCCGGCCGTTATTTCAAAATTATTTTGAAATAAGGGAATTGCAGTGTAGACGCTCTCATTGTTATTTTGGAACAACGGCTGTTATTCTGAAATAACTTTGCTGTGTAGGCACACCCAGAAGAAGGCACTACTTCATGCGAGAGGAGCAGAATCTGGCCCAAGTGTCATATTTAAGAATGAGTTGGTGTGATCGTCTTGGGGTTTTCGGATGCACTGTGACAGAAGCAAAATACAGAAGGAAAGAAAGACTGCCCATGGAAATTTCCAGCCATTACATTGTCCATTGCCAGAGGGTGGGAATGAGACAGAACCATTTGCTGGCTGGATTTTTGCCACTGAAAATGTGTAGCCTGTATTTGGAAAGCATTGCTTAGTTAACGACTATAATTCATTTCATTTCTCCATTGAATGGTCTGTGGCTCTGGGCTCCTTTTGAACTGGAAAGAAAGAAAGAAAGAAAGAAAGAAAGAAAGAAAGAAAGAAAGAAAGAAAGAAAGAAAGAAAGAAAGAAAGAAAGAAAGAAAGAAAGAAAGAAAGAAAGAAAGAAAGAAAGAAAATCAACATTCTGAAAAGTGCAAAAAAAATCACACACAATAGGAAGCAGGAAAAATTTTCTTCACCACAGAAGCTAATATTTGAAAGAAATACCAATGACAGGAACTTAGCAATTGCCTGATGGGATAAGAACTTAGTCCAGCTGTCTCTGACAGTGGTCAACACCAAGTGCTTTAGAAGAAGGTGCAAAGAAGCCCTGCAGTAACTGTGGCATAATCTGACTTCCCCCTCCTGCTCCCCCACATGTATATTCTACTTGGAAGATTGACCCTGCCACGATCAATCTTCCGAGGTTCAATTTAACAGGTCTACTGAAGACCCGCTAAATCAAACTCAGAGGGTGCCCCCTCAGCACCAGTGCTCCTGCTCCTCACAAGGAGTAAGGGAAGTTGACAGAAGCGTTTGCTCCTGTCAGCATCCTAGTATGTGGATGGTGTGGAAACGCAATGTAAGATACATTGTCACCTGCTACGTAATTTAGTAGCTGGAGTTGAGTATCTTACTTTGATCTTCCGATGTAGTGTAGACCAGGCCTCAAAGTCAGAGACTGGCTTAAACCCTGAATAATGAGCATTAAATAATTTGTTGGCATGAACTATAACAACTCTGGATGTTTTTGTTGTCCATTTAAGTGTCCAATGCCTCTTTGAATCCTACTAAGGCTGGGCACTGCATATATATTTTAAGAGAGAGCACAGTTTGTTACAAAAATAAGCAACAGAGCATGAAATGAAAAGTACTTAGATTATAAACTCTATGGAGGAACGCCAGACTTGTTCATTTGGGTGTGTGGATTGTGCCTAACACAACCAGACACTGATCCTGGACGGGAACCCATAAACATTGCTGCAACAGAGACAACAAATATTGCATTAGCACAGTGGGATCCATGATGAGGGCTACACCATGCTACTGCAATACAAAACAAATGCAACCATTGAGGTGGCATGGAGCCCAGAAAGGAAATGTTGTGTGAGAGGAAAAGCAAGAGGAAAAGCAAGACCAGAGTGAGCGAAGAATTAGAAAATGCCGATCTTGTTTTAAAAGTATTCCAGTTTAATGTTCACAAGCATAATCCAAAATGGTTTGAGAGCAGGATGCCTACTGGGAAAAATCCTTCTTTGAAGCAATATATTTGATGGAGAAAGAACCCCGTGATGTACTGGTAGCACTCCGGGATTCGTATAATAAACAGAATTCAAGAAACAAAGGACTGGACAGAATTCAGATGCAATTTCAACCCAATTCCCCATCAAATCTGCAGACTGGAAAAGATGAAACTCTGCCAGGATTAAAACAAACAGAAAGTAGTGGCATGTTCCTTATTTGCTGTCAGAGAGTAGCAGTGAATTCTTGTTCTTTTAACTTTAGAGCTCCTGTCACGTTCAACACATTGAGATGTTTTATACCCTGGCAGGCAAATGCAGTAGCATCAGGTGATTATTACAAAGGAGAAACTCACAAAGATTTTGATTGTCAACAGAAGGAAATAGGAAATTGGCAAAAATACATGACAGTTGGGGGGGGGGGCGTTAGCACTCACATGTGAGTGTGGCAAGAGCTGTCTAAGAAGAACACAGAAAGAACCATCAAGGGATTATTATAAAAAGACAGAGTTAGCCACCCATGTGTAGGACCACATACTTTTTCTTCCATATCCTCCAGCATTGTAGGGTGTGGCTCTACCAGTCTACCAGCTAGTGGGTATTAGCTGCAAACAGAGAAGGAATGGCTACTGTTTTCCAACAAACATCTTGAGTGGGGGCAGGCTGCCTGGGAAAGGCTGGTTAAGAGTTACTGTGTCTCCTTTGTACGTTACAAAGATAAAAATGTCAGATCCTAGGAAATAAATGGAAATAACCAAACATGGGCTGGATAGATCGTCTCAGCATCCAGGATTCCTCCTTTCCCCTGGTGTGAGAAGACTTGGATTTCACGCTAATGGCTGCTCTTCTATGAGGCATTGCTGGTATTTAATTTTCTGTAGTGGAAAAGACTCTTAGCGTCCACTTTCCCCGAGTATTTGATGGCTTCGGCAAATAGCTTTGTCACCTGGAAATATAAAGCAGAGGAGACTGATCATTTTGCAGTCTTTTCCGGGGGGGAAGGGGAAGTGTTGATTAATAAGGCAAACATAACAGTTCTACACCCTACAAAATGCTTCGTGCCGGGTCACGCCAGGGGCCATCCAGAACACCAGACTGCCAATTTGGCAAGCCTTGCCTCTTGGGAGGAAGACTCAATAGAAATTATTTCTCCTTCATCCCGGACTTTATAGAGCAAACAGGGCTCTGTCCTCCCTTTAGAGATTACAACTCTACTAGAAAACAGTTTACTGAATCTTGAAGGGGGGGGTCTTCTTTCCAGTTGGCAGTGTATGTTTTTCAGACAGATCAGTACATGCTCTGCTATGTCCCACACAGACTTAGCTTCCCTATGTCGATGAGATTGCAGCTTGGCATTGCTTTTCTTTATGTTTCCTCAAATCACAGCATAAGCTTTTGCACGCCAATCCCTAGCACCTGCCTCTGTTGTTAGGGTCTGACCTCGCT